AACTAGATATGATTATAAAAGCAAATTAGTCTGTTTTTAGAAAAAGCTGTTTGTTACCCTGGGCAAATTATTTCCTAGTGGAAACACTACTTATTTAATAGATACAGTATCTTCAAGGAAAGCCATGTCCCTCAAAGGAAAAAGGAGAAAGTTGACTAAAGAGTATGTTGAGGCTACCTCCAGAGTGTGGAGTACCATAACAGGTATGAAAAATGATGAAAAGTCATTTCTGAAATCAGCCACTTTGGTACAGAACTGTATTGCTCCAGACATTTAAGCTAAGTAGTGGGGGTAAGACAGAGTTAATAGCCCCAACAATCACAAAGGGCTGTGCTGGACACCAGACCCCACAATTTACTATTCTGGGGAATCCATGCACATTATTTAACCACTCTCAGACACAGTTTCTTCATTTAAAGACTGCATAATTAGTAGGTTTGGGACAGCTCATAGTATACATTAGACTCTCAAGAAAGAGCAGTAGGTAAAACCACTGCTTCACAGTTACATCCCATGAGAAGAGCTGCTAGAGGAACTCACAGAGGGTGTGTGAACTGAGTTATTATAGGGCTACAGGTGTTACAGCATATGACACTGGGGAGTGACTGAACCTATGACCCTCAAGTTTTCTACTCCCTAGCAGCTTAGCAGTTCTGTTGGAACTCTGCTCCGAACCCAACCATACTTCTGATCTTATCTACACAACACCCTCTTTTGGGCAGTGTAGACAGAAGTGGTCTATTTATAACCACTAGCCTGGACCATAAGTCTTGCGTGCTGTCCCGGGCATCCAGGAGCCAAGCTACTGTAAAAGGCATAACTAATTAAGAGGAGGCTATGTGAGTTTGTGTTCCAGCAGAGTGTGGTGTGTGTGTGTGTGTGTGTGTGTGTGTGTGTGTGTGTGTGTGTGTGTGTGGTGTGTGTGTGTGTGTGTGTGTGTGTGTGTGTGTGTGTGTGTGTGGTGTGTGTGTGTGTGTGTGTGTGTGTGTGTGTGTGTGTGTGTGTGTGTGTTGAGGGGGGGAGTTGAAGAGAAAAAGTGTGACTGAAGCAATGCCAATGGTGAAGGTATACCTACAGACAACCTGTGACCTGCTGCAAGTCAGGAGGAAAACGCTGAAGATTGTCTTCACAAGTGAAAACAACTAAAAGTTTTAAAAGCCTTCAAATGCATGATCTCTGGAAACTTTTAAAGGAAATTTTTACAGATGTAGACCTTTTTTGAAAGAAATCTTAAGATTTTTAAAATAATGTTCGGTTATTTTTACCTAACACTAATGCACATCTAATAGCCACAATGAAATTCTAGATAAAATACAATTTTGGTTAAAGATCCAAGAGAGAAGAAATATACAAAAGAGAAGTGAAGAATGGCCTTTTGATTATCATATTCATTGTCTCAACAACTATCGGGCATCTTCTGTGTGCCAGGTAGCAGGAGAATGTAGCTTAAAGACCTATATTCCCAGGATAGTGAGTTCTAAGCCAGCAGTGTGAGACCCTGTCTCAAAAAACAAAAACAAGCAAAAAGAAGAAAGGTAAAATAAAAATAATAACCAAAAGATGAAATTATACTGTGATAAACAGTATAAAAAGAAAAACAAGTCTATAAAGGCAGAACCCACTGCTATTTATTTGTGGCACTGTTTACCTGGCAAGAGAGAACACAAGGTACAACAGAACCCACTATAAGAGTTTTATTAGGGATGGAAAAGTATAAGAACATGAATAGGCCTACCGGAAATGTATAGTGTGGGAGAGAGAGTGGGAAATGGGTGGAATCTGCTTTTATAGGTCACCCCATGCATATGGTTTTATCATATATTAGAGAAGAAATCAATTTTGCTTAGTTACTTTTACATAGTGAGTTAAATATTGGCTGAATATATGAAACCACAAGATATAGAATGAGCATCTTCAGTGTTTTTCAAAGTTGATTGATATCTTGATATCATTATTGCTGAGAATTTGAGGCATCCCAGGTAGTTGCCACATATCACTGGGAAATCGAGTCCCTTTTTGGAGTTCTTAGTCTCATTGATAAAAGAATTTGTGAATGGACTCAACAGGAAGCTAGAGAATAATTTTATTAAAGTTTATAAGAAAAAATTCCAGAGAAGACAAGCTATAGCTTCTGCAATTGCCCAGAGGAGGAGAAAGATAGAGAAGAGAAAGAGTGAAGTCCAAAGTCTACATCTGAAGTCACCTGCAGTGGAAGTCAGCCTGAGGGCAGGCAGCCAGCCGAGTGGGGAGGTGGGGAGCTTCAGCAAAAGACAAAGACCAAAAGTTTTAGGGGAAACATTCTTAGAAAAGAGATGTAAGAAAAGTAAAAGTTATGCTTTTCTGAGTAATTCAGAAAGGCCACCAACAGGTAGACCAAAGCTCCATGGGTTCAGCTCTGTAAACAACCACATAAAGAGTCGGGCTCTGGGAAGAGAAAGTACATCATTTCAACAGAAGGATAATTATTCCTCCCAGCTCATTAGCATGGTTTTAGGTGAATCTGCATTCCTGAGGGTGGTTCCTTAGCCAGGCAATTGACTAGCACAACTAGATTCCCTCAAGGGAAGAGACAATGGCTTATCTCCACCCAGGTGGATTCCATTCTTTTAACTGGAAGGAAATAGCTTTTCCTTGATGCCTTACAGTACTTCTGTATTATAATCATCAATGCTGACACCACCACTTTACAGAAACTCATAATAAAAAAAATGGCAGAAATGCTTAGGGCCCTTATAGAAATCGCTGCAAATTCTATTCCAAGCCAAGCCAAAATCTGATGGCTTTCATGAACCAAGCCAGCAACTCAAACAGCAATTTTTAAAATCCAACCTTTGAACACAACAGAATCTACAGGTATACTAGTTTGATATTTACATGGTAAGGAATGACAGAGAGAAAAATAATAAAGATTTTGCTTTCTGTAATTAATTCCTATGTTTTTATAAGAAAAAACACTTTAAAAATAATTATGGGGGAGGGGTGGGGGGAGCACTGCAATTTATAGCCTACGATTGTCTTGAATTTGTGTTGTATTTCAGGCAACATTAGTTTGACAACTGTGCAGTGCTGCAGTTTCACAGTGTTAAGCACACATGCTGTGTGTCCAGACCCGAGGCTGCAGTGTAGTCCATGGTGAGTGAGCTTCCAGAAACACCTTAGATTTTGAATGAGTTTTGCTCATCTGTTGCCAGACTCACAACCGCCATTCAGTTTCACAGCCCTGTGTGGGGTTGTGACCGCTGATTTCAAAAACTAAACTCTAGAGAACCCTGACTAATCTAGTAAGGCAGATGCCTGGTCAGGAAGTCGGAAGACAGATACTCACACTGGAAGAGAAGTGGGACATCGCGTTCCTGAGAAGCAGAAGCAGGCAGGGGCAGGTGGATGGTTCTCGTGTGGAGTAGAGGAAGTGAAGGGAGAAGTCTGACTCTGGGTTTCAGCATTTGAATAAGATGTGGCTTCCTTCGTGACAAGAAATACTTGGCAGGGAAACTTAAAGGTTCACTTTTGGACATGTTGCCTGAGTAGCTTCTAAAGGGAAAATGCTTAAGAAAAAAAAAAAAAAAAAGGCAGCAGCAGCAGAAGAGGAGGCTCTGGCTGCGTGAAGGACAGTCCAATGCTGAGGTCTGGAAGGAAGGTACAAACTGGGAAATATTCAGCAGTGGGAACTACCTGAGGGACAGACAGGGCAAACTTTCTACAGTCACAAGTTTCAAGTGTGGTGTTTCCAAGACTTAAATGAAGAAATTCACTAAGCACAGGCCTGTGACCCCGTGTCCCCAACAATAACTAGTCTTGCTGTGTATGCCTCTGGGAAAGTAAAAGTGACTCTTTACAGTTGGTCCATTGGAGACAGAGGTTGGGGATAAAGCTGAGTGGGAGCATTCAAGCACACGAGGCCCTCGGTTGATCCCCAATGGTAGGAAGATACACCAAGAAGAGGCCCTCAGACAGGCACGGCGGCTCTTTGAGGTACAGTAATATATGGAGAACACAGGCACAAGGTACTGAAAATGAGAGCCAGGATGATAGGAAGAACTGACGTGGATTGTGACTGTAAGATCAAGAGAGAAGAATGTTTTAAAAAGAAGAAAGAATAGCCAGGCAGTGGTGGCACACACCTTTAATCCCAGCACTCGGAGACAGAGGAAGGTGGATCTCTGTGAGTTCAGTCTATTAGAGTCAGTTCCAGGACCGCCAGGGCTACACAGAGAAATCTTGTCTTGAAAAACCAAAACCAAAAAGGAAGCAGGAGAAAGAGGAGGAAAAGGAGGAGGGGGGGAGGGAGAAGAGGAAGAGAGGGGGAGGGGGAGGAGGAGGAGAAGGAGAATGTAGCATGAATCTTAGAGAGTCTTACTAATAAAATCAAACCCGAGGCCAGTTATTGGGGTCAATGCTGGTAGATCAGAGAGACAGAACAAGCCACAGCTATCTCACCTTGCCGGATCCTCAGCTGGTCTTGTCTCCTCAGACTGGAGGCTTCTGTGTCCTCATCCCAATGACTCTCAGCTGAACTGCTGCTCGAAAGCCTGAAGCTTAACCAGCTAAAAGCTTAACCAGCCTAAATGCTTCTAGTTTCTGGTCTCCACGCCTTATATACCTTTCTGGTTTTGCCATCACTCCCTGGGATTAAAGGCTCGCTTTCTGGGATTAAAGGCGTGAGTCACCATGCTTGGCTGTATCCTTGAACACATGGATTTCTGCCTCTGGAATGCTAGGATTAAAGGCGTGTGCTACCACTGCCTAACTTCTATGTTTAATATTGTGGTTGTTCTGTCTCTGACCCCAGATAAATTTATTAGGGTACACAATATTTTGGGGAACACAATACCACCACAGGAGAAGGAGAAGGAGCAGAAGAAGAAGAAGAAGAAGAAGAAGAAGAAGAAGAAGAAGAAGAAGAAGAAGAAGAAGAAGAAGAAGAAGAAGAAGAAGAAGAAATCACATGCTGACACTTATTTTGCTCTGATTAAAATTTTTATAGACTCATGTTTACTTACGTAGAATGAGGGAGGTTTTGTGGAGCAAACTGTAATCTCAGCATGCTGAAAACCCACACAGGAAGATCCAAAGTCCAAGGCCAGCAGGGTTATACAGTGAGGTCCTGTCTCAAAAAGACAAACAGCAATTAGAAAAAAAATGTAAAGTGATAAACACTATCTCTAGTATAGATTTTTTTTAAATAGAGGCTTATTGAGATTAGTATTTCTGAACATAGGATGAATATAAATTCAGTAAATGATTAAGACATAATTCAAACCAAGTCTATGATTCCAGTGAGTCAGCTATAGAGGCCACACTCTCCTTTGCATGAAAGCCATGTATTAGACACTTCGGAAACAAAGGACGGGTGCATGCCTCAGAAAGGAGGAGGAGGCAGAAGTATTGGGAAAGGCCATATACTAGCTAAACCTTAAAGGAGACGTGCTTGATTCACGCTGCATGAAGAGGGTATTTCCAGCCAAATAGACTATGTGGGTAGTGGCAGGAAGAAGGGAGGGGAGGGGAGGGAGGGAGGGAGGGAATAGCAGGGAACTTCTGAAGCTCTGGGTTCCTGTGTGGGAGACAGGAGTCTTGGGGAGGAAGACAGGAGGTAGGACTTCATCCCAAAGGATTCAGCTATTTTAAAGGCAGCATCACCAGGGCAACTTTGGGTAGGAAAGAAATCTAGCAGCACTGTTAAAGAAGACATAGCACAAGGGGAAGAGAATGCGCTCAGGCAGGTCAAGTAAGAACATAGTCAACGCCAGGTCAGAGAGATCCGGAAGCCATAAAGTAGTAAGAGCTGGCTGGCTTGCATCAGGCTTGGGAAGGAGGCAGCAGGGACTGCTTACTGCATTGGGCAATAGAACAGCAGGGGGAAGCAGTCAGAGGAAAGTGGACAGAACTGAGCAGGAAGTCTCAGTCTTGGAGTTTGATTGCCTGTGGACCATCCAGGAAGCCAGGTTGCAAAGATAGCTGGGACTTGAGACTGGTACCATAAATAGAGGGGTGGTCTATGGCTGAAACAGAGCATAGCAGTGTCATTCTGGGAAGAGTTTACAGGTCTCTGCTCTTTCCCCATTGTTCTCAACAACAGGATAGCTCATAAAACCAGGAAGACAGCGGACCAGGGCCCTCTGTCCAAATTGCGCCCATATTCTTTATTATTCCACCAGAGGCAATCTCATTTATGATGATGAGTTTTATTTAAGGCAAATAATATTTTATGAAGCAGCTTCTAAAATAAATTCTCCAGCTTTGATGTTCTCTGGTATTTCCATACCAAGGACTCGGTTTTGATGTATGCTTCAGATTAGATAAAGAGGAAATGTAAGGAAATTGTAGCAGTACCATCTTTCAGATTATGACAGTTTGAGGGTTCAAAGCAATTTATCATGTGAAGAACTCCCTTTCCAAACAAACAAAAATGAATCCATGAAGAGTGACAGGACAAAGGTAGAGGTTGGGGACAAAACTGTTTGCCATGCAAGCACAAGGTTGTGAGTTTGGATGCCCACATAAAAGTCAGACATGGTGGCACACATCTGTATCCTCAGACCCTCCTTGCAGGGCACATGATGAGCAGAAACAGGAGGATCCCGGCAGCTCATTAGTCAGCTAGCCTAGCCAAACTGATGAGCTTCAGTTGAGTGATAGACGCTGTTTCAAAAAATAAGATGGAGAGTGATCATGGAAGCCATCTGACGTCAACCTCTGGTCTCCACATATGCGCGCGCGCACACACACACACACACACACACACACACACACACACACACACAGGCGCGTGCGCGCATGAATGGCCAGAGCAATGTTTAGTAGCAACAGGCCACCAAAACATTGCTTTACCTCAACTCCTCTCTGTTGGTGACAATACCACAGATAAAGTTTCAGATCCTGTATCGTTGATATGATGTAAGTATTTGTTAAAAGATGGGGGGAGGGGGGAGATTGCACAGTTTTCTTAGTAATGGTTCCGAAAGGGAGTTTCCATAACAAATATATAATTACTACATGGAAACAGCCACATTACTGGACAGGAAGCCCCAGCCCAAGGGGACAAAAAAGCCCCAAAACATAGTTTTCCATTTGCACATTGCTTCATTGAGAGACTAAAGTGGTAAGAAAGTAGATTGAGTAATTCCAAATGACAGAGACAGGCTCTCCTGTTTGAGCACGAATGTGCTAGCTCTTTAAGGAGAAGCTATAGTGTATGAACCAGCTCTCCTTATGCAAGTTATTTTTTCCTGAATAAGAAACAAAGTAAAGAAGTGATGGAAGAAACAGCTGTTGATCATCATGGCTGGCAAAAGCAGGATCCTTCCTAATTCTTTGCCAGTGTTCTAGTCAGGCTCAGGGATCTAAGACTTTTGAAAGCTTTCTAAAACTGTGCACTAAATGTTATTAGGACATGTGCCTTCCTTGTATGCTACCAACTGCTATGGTCAGGGCACCCCCTGGGTTTTCCAGGTTCTTGTGTCTTAGAACGAAGAATTGGACCGAGCACACATGGATAGTGAGAGAAATAAAGATGTTTATTAAAACCAAGAGCACTCAGGCCAGAGAACTGGGAAACGATGAGCTTTTGTGGGGCACTCACAGGGCATACACCTTCTCTGTGATGGGGATTCATGGAGTACACCTGGGCACTTGGTGAGCTCAAGCCAGAGAGTTAGGATGCTGGGTAACCAATCTCTGGTTATCAGGGCCACCCCAAGCCAGTGGTGTCCATGTTCTTTGTTACATAGCCCCCCCCCCCCACACACACACACAAAGAATACGGGCAGGCAGGTGAGCAGAGCAAACATAGATATTAAGGAAAAGTGAAAATGAACTCCCCAGAGTGGGTGGAACTTGGAGGGAGGAATCAAGGCCACGCTGCCCTGCAAACTGGTCTTCTCCGGGAGCTAGCTGCTGTCTCAAGCTTAGAGACTGCGGAGTTTTTCTCCCTTGCATGCTCTGCCCCGCACATGTAGGCCTGGTGGAGAGGGGTTTTCAGTTCTGCCGACCGTCCTCTTCCATCAGTTAATCCCGGTGCCTCTCCCCATGCCTGACTTCCTGCCACACAACCACCTTCCCCCAAAATCTCCCCCACACATCTCCAGACCTGGGCCTGATTACAGAAGGTGACCTTTAAGCTTTCTGGGAAGTAAACTACAGAAAAGCAGGGATGGGGGTGTGTGGTGATATTTGTAATCTAAGAAATAAAGCTTGCCTGAAGATCCGAGGAGCTTGATTTCTTAGATTACAAATGTCACCACAGGGTTGAGTGGGTGTGGTGGCGGTGGTGCAAGTCTTTAATCCCAGCACTCAGAGGCAGAGACAGGGGATCTCTGTGAGTTCAAGGCCAGCCTGGTCTACAGAGCAAGTTCCAAGATGGTTCCACAGAGAAACCCTGTCCCAAAAAACAAAAACAAAAACAAACAAAAAAGAGATGTGGAAAGGCACACACACAAGAGAAACAAGAAACCATGCAACTGTTTTCAAAATAGGGTGATACAGAGTTCATGGAGGGGTGCTGCTTACTAGCTTGCTCCCTATGGCTTGCTCAGCCTGGTTTCTGATAGAACCCAGGACCACCAGCCCAGAGATGGCTCCACCCACAATGGGCCAGGACTTCCCCTTCCCCCATCAATTGCTAATTAAGGCTTTCATACAGCGCTAGCTAAGGGAGGCATCTACTTAGTTGAGGTTCCTTCCTCTCAGATGACTTTGTCAAGTTGACATTAGACTAGCCAGCACACCCACAGCAGAGGCTTCCTTGCTTTGCTGCAGCTATCTATCTGATGCACAAACCAGTGCATTTAAAAGCATCTTGATTTATGACTTTCTTCTGTTACTTTAAAATCCTCATGAAATTGTTACCTCATTGGAACAATTACCTAATTGGGGCGACCTGAATCTGTGTTCCCGAGCCAGGGCCGCTCATATTTGGTTCCAGAATAAACTGTCTCTTAGTCCCTTTGAGGTGAAAGCTGTGTTATTTACTTCATCATTTTGTATGTCTGAGATCCTTTGGTCTCCAGAGTTTGGGGTTAAGAAATGATTTGCATTGTTTAAGGTCTTATTAAGTGAATATTTGTATTAATTTGGGGCTGGAAAAGTTTCATCTAAAATAAAAACAAAAACTTAAGTGTACATAAATTTTAAATGGTTTAAATGTTGTTTGGATTTTGTAATGAAAACAAAGGGGTCCAGAAGTGCAGTTCAATGGCAGAATGCATGCATTATAATGCCTGCATTTGGTCAGATTGACCTGGTGTGAGAACTTGATGGCTGCTAAGCCAGGTAGTCATCTTGAAGGCCAAGTTCCTCTGCTTAAAGGCCAGAGAGCTGCCGCCCTTTCCTGAGACTCAACATTATCTCCAATGTCTTTTTCTCTTCATTTCAGCTAGGATGCTTTGGGAAAACATACAAAGAAAGTGTCCATCACTTGCCTTTATTAAGATGTCATGGCAGCAGAGTAGATTAACATATGAAAGAAGCCAGTTGATAAAGATGGGAAACCATTCTCTACTGAGTTCATACAGCCAGTGGTGCATGCGCAGGAGAACCCTGAAAGGTACTGTGAGAGGCGGGCACTGTGAAGATGACCTGTGTATGATCCTGAGGGTCATGGACAATGCTTTTAGGATGCATGCTCTTCTTTCAGTTCATCGGCTCCAAGGCTGGAGAGGTGGCTCCGTGGTTACAGTGTGCCCTGCTCTTGAAGGGGACTCAGGGGTCCCAGCACCCACATGGGTGGTGGGGGTGGGGGTTCTTGACTGCCTGTGACTCCAGCTCCCGGGGATCTGGATGCCTTCTTCTGGCCTTTGTGGACACCTGTACTCACATGTGTACATAGTGATACACAGACACATATAATTTAGTTATTTTCACTGGCTTTGCACTTTTGGAGGCGAGAGATCCCATTTTATACCACTCCAGGAAAGTGCCATATTGGACATTGCTGAGGTTGTCTTTGAAGAGGATTGAGATACAGCAAATAACCATTCCAAGCATAATAAATCGGGAAGCAATCGGCACTTCTGCCTCCCATTCTTTAAACCCTCCCCATCCCTTTCCCACGTTATTCTAAATTCTAGAGAGGCACCGTTAACGGTTCCTCTCCTCAGCTGCTGTGA